TATACAGGAGCTGTTAAAACGCTGTTTTGTACTATTGTGCTCGGTGTGTCTGATAATAAAGTCGCCCAACTTCCTTGTTTATGTTTACCTCTGCTGCGGACAAGCACGAAGTGGAGGAAGTTAGCCCCGGAGCTAATGTTAGCTTCGGCTGTGGAGCAGATCACTAGGTTTCCCCTGTGCATTTCAACGGTCGGAGTACCGAAGCAACGCAAAGCTAACGTGTAACCAGCCGTGTTACAGGCACTGTTCGGAAAAAAAAAACATTTATTTAATTCAGGGTAAAATGTACAGTGGTATTATTGGACACAATACACATAATTCTGCCTATGCCTTAAAATGCATCACAATACATTTTAATCTGATTTGTCACAATTAAATTGAATGTACATTTTAACAGTGGTTCTGGTGAGGTCGACTTAAATGGAGCACCTTTATTTTTGTATACGTTTGGTTCTGGTGAGGTCGACTTAAATGGAGCCCCTTTATTTTTTATTTGTTTGTTTGTTTGTTTATGACCCCATTGTCCATTTGAATGAATGTACTAGTATATTTGGAGTTCCAAAAATGTCTAGAGCCAAGGCTACACCAGATACAGAAGTTATTTCTTGGCTGGTTGAACATGCCTAGTAACCACAGCTCAAGTTATTCCAATTACTGTGTTTCTAGGATCTTTATTTTTCACCTTTCTCTTTGTCCTCTCCCTGATCCTCCCTCCAGTGCTCCCAGACCTGTGGAGGTGGTGTTCAACTGAGAAAGGTCTACTGTAAGCAGCTTCTATCCACAGGGGCCTACAGGAGGCTGGGAGACGGCACCTGCTCTGGTCCCAAACCTGCAGTTAGCAGAAGCTGCAGCAACTCTGACTGTCTGCCCTCGTGGGCAGGAGGAGAGTGGGGGAAGGTTGGTATGAATTAACTACTGTGAAGAAACGAGAGCGAGGAAATGAGAGTCAGAGAGAGGGGAATTGGCATTAAAAGCCTCTCTGTAACATAATAATATTTATGCAAATACATCGTATAATATACTATATACCTCAAATTTATTTTATGAGAGGAATTAAAATCCTCTTTGTATTGCTGGAAGATTTAATATTCAATAAATCACAAATACATTATATAAAATACTTTGCAGGAAAGAACAAGTAGTAAATCCTGGTGTCCTCATGAGTCAGTGTACAGTTTTACTGCAGTGGTTCACAACCTTGGTGCTGCAGAACATTGTTGAGAAGCCAGAGACAAAAACTGGGCCTGTGGGCCAACTATGGCCTATCTTTTTTTGGCAAACCAGAAAGATGTTTATACCCTTTTTCTTTTAGATATTAGTTTGAAATCTCTCTTTTTCAAGTTTTATTACACCAAAACTACAGTACCTTAATTCACAAATAATGGACCAAACATGTTAAGTGTTTAATTTAATGACAATCTATATTTCTATATCTATATTTCTGTTATGTATTAATTCAAGTCTACAAGTTTGACAAGGCAAACTTTTCTCTGTCCACATTTCATTTTCAATACAATAAGAATAAATATCATTGTCTGTTGTAAAACTTTTAGAATTTCCAGCTGCTTTTTTCTGCCATTACCCATGCCTCCCTGACTAGCCGGAGGCTATCCTCGCTGCTAAAATGGTAAATTCTTGGATTGTTTTGAAGACTGTTGCAACACTGTAGAGTAGACTGAGAAGGCAGTAGCCCGGGGCACCAAACTGAGAGGTAGTTCAGTGCCCGAGGTAGAACTGATTACATTAGTCAACAGCAACAACAGGTTTGCAGCAAATGCCCTGAATTTCATGACAGCCTGTAGTCAGGAGACTGGAATTAAAAACCTCTGCGTTACCAGATTGCTTCTCTTCGTTTTAATAAATAAATAAAAATCACGACTGTGTGAAACCACCACAGTGACACACGATGCTTCATGTGAGAAGCATGAATGTGTTTTCGGAAAACGCTGACATTGTTTTTATTCTGCACGGTTCAGTTGTGATTCATGAGGCGTTAGCATCTCACCAATCAACATGTTCACAGTTTAGAAACCTTGCCTCTGCATTTTACTGCATTGATTAAAGCAATCAAGTCGTGAATATGTCTGATCTGGAAATCGAAACTGTGACATCATTAGTTTATAGAGTGGACCTTGTTTTTGGCAGGCTGTGGGCTGTGGAGTCAAAACAGGCAGTGTGAAGTGAAACTCTGAGCTGAAATCTAGCTAAGGTCCCAGTATTGAATGATTTCAACTTTGAACTATACTAGAAATATATCTGTATGGAAGAAAAATGCTAGGTTATAAAAATACCATGCATGAGTTTGTGTGGCCTCTTTTTAACTTAATCTCTACTAGTTTAATAGTTCAACCACATAGTTATTGGTGACTGATGGCAACCAAGAGAAATACAAATCTGTATGTGAAGTCTACAAACCCTTAACCTTGTAATAACAACATTCTTTTTTTCTTTCTTCTCAGTGCTCAGTGACTTGTGGTCTGGGGATTCAGCGCAGGGAGCAACTCTGTCGTCAACTGACCTCTGATGGCCAGCAGATGACGCTAGACAAAGGAGTGTGCTCAGGATTACCCTCACCTCCTCTGGTGCGGACTTGCCGAATGATAGCCTGTCCAAGTAAGAAACATACACTAATTGCCGCTGTGTCAATACCAATATTGTCTCGGTCGGACCATGTGTTCAGTAATTAAACTGTGATCACAAAGATGTGGGAAGCAGTTCTTCGAATGTTCACCAGTTAAAGCAGCTGTTTAATCAGTGTTGCTGACAATGTGTAAATACTAAAGCCAAGCTTAAATAGTGACTGTGCGGGTGAAGTCAACGCACACACATCTTTGAAGGCAACTTTGTCTAATCTGATTGGTTAATCCCATGTCAGTCCCTTTAACACACTGCCCCTGGGGCTCAGCCTGTAAAACACACGGCTGATTGCTGTGAAAATGTCATAGTGACTCCTGAGAGTCGGAGAAACGTTACCTCCAGCTGCTGCTCCCTGCTCTCCCTCAAAAGTACAGCCTGACAATTAAGAAGAAATAAGGTGAATGGAGGGTCAGTGGTGGAGGTAGTAGTACTACAATTACTCTAAGTCAGATTTAAGCCTTAAGTTAGTTGTAGCAGTCACCTTTTATGTTAACCAGGCTAACTTGAAGCCTCTGAAACTAAAACCTCTAGAAACCTGGGGTTAACGACTTTATTTACCCACACTCCCCGAATGTCTTCAATCTTATTAGAATATGATCAAAAGTCAAAATTGGCCAAACCATATTTGTCCACACGGTGTCTCTGCTTATTGTAAGACATGGTTGAGGTTGAAGAGTTTGGACATCTGTAGCCGGAGTAGAAATAAAGCAGTTAAATCAGTCCTGGCATCTGATTATGGTGCCTCCTGCTGGATGTTTTACAGGCACAGCAACTGTAGAGGCTGATCCGTGACCTACAGCTGGGATTGTATATCCCGTGACTGGAAAGAGCTTGGACATTTGTAGCATGATGCATTAAAATGTTGATTGGTTCATACACACAAGACCACCTGTGAAGGATTAGGTTTCAGGGCCGCAAGTCTGGAACCCCACAAAATTTGAAACTGCACCACCAACAAGTGTGAATGAAAGAAAGTTGTAGATTAAAAGCTACATTTCCAGAACATGCTACAGTGTTTCTCAATCTATCACTAACAACGTTCCCCTGCAAACGTCCAACAAACATTGCACAATTGCAGGCTTCACTACTTCAGGACCTCATTTGTCAAAGACAGAATCTATCATTTTTGGCTAATAAACCACCACCTGCTGCCTGATGACATCAGCGCATTAGCAGATTAATGATTCAATCAAGTGATGCCAGCCATTTATGAAGGCAGATCTTGATTATATGGCACATAAAAGCTTATCTCAGGAGAAACAGGCTAATTAGCTGGTTCCCAATTAGCCACAGTTTTATCAAGGTTTTTAGTGTATACTCTTCCTTTTGAGAACATTCACTAGATCAGTCTATAAATGTCTCTCGTCATGTGACACAGTTGACGCGTGGTTAGATTATGTCGCTGTTGGTCATGTGTTGCCATAGAAACATTTGCTTCTTGCATTTTGTTAAGACATTTTGACATTTCATCTTTAGTCTCCACTTTCCTGTCATTACCTCCACTTTGTCAGAGCAGTTAAATATTAAAACGAAAGTGACATTTTAGTCGCGTTACTCCTAAATGTCATCCAATTTTCTCCAGATCTGTTTCCATTGCCTTCACTCCTAAATGAGTTCCTGCAGTCTATAGTCCTCCAGCTCCGTACTCTTCATATGATGTCTTAAATTCAATCTATCAAGTTTGTCATATCATGTCTGTCAAACTAACACAAAATAATAGGCTGGATGTGGGCAGTGGTATATAACCCCTGACCGACACCAGAAGGTTCTGAGTTCAGTACCAACTGGTCCCCAAACCTTAGTTTGGATTGTGTCAGTGTCTAGCAGATGAAACTAAGACATGTCTTAATCTTATATATATATATATCACTTTGTCTATTATAGTTTGGGTGTAGGAAGTCAAGGAATGTCCACCATGTGGCGCTGTAAAAACAAAAGGACTATAAATGTGCAATTGCTCCTTTTTGATGAGATGAATAAAGTAAATGGCAAAATTAAACATGTTCCATTTGCAATATATATATAAAAAAAAACAACTAAACAACATTTGTCCAATCCCTTGATAGAAATTTTGAAGGTAGTTGATGTTATACTGGTAAAAATCGTGAATGGCTCCAGGAGGCTTTGGTTCGTTTGTCATTATCCATTGGTTTGACGACCTAATTACAGCTTCATATGGGCTGAAACAAGCTGATGAAAACCCACCTTGTGCTTCAGTCCTCCATTAAACAGACCCGCGTCAGAAAACCTGAACAACCAAATTAAGTCCAGGTCACAAACGGAGAATACTGACAGATGCTATTTACTGTCCAGACAGAGACGCTGTAATGAGCAATGACACCTTGAATTCCCCTGTCACTCTCTTCCCCTGAACATGGCCCACAGTTGCCAAACGTAATCCACTGGGCTGCTGTAAATGCTGCCCAACTTAATATTTCACTGGTCCCACTTGACTTGTCCTGTTTTAAATCGATACTATTTTACAGGTAGAAGGAGGAGGCATGTGTCCGCTGTACTAAGGAACTGATGGATGCTAAAGATAATGGTCAGCCAGTCCAGACAGATCCAGTCAAACTCCCTTCAGCGGTTTAAAACAAAATGTTTCATTTGACTCAGTGACGTGAAATTCATTTGACTTCAATTCTAGCCCAGTTGATCCAGTAGAGGGCAGTAGGGAGGACCAGTTAGTATTTTCTCATACTCTAACTATGACCATTAGTCATTCTTGTTCATGATCATCATCACTCTCTCTGACCCATGCTGTTCTCATTTGTCAGGAACTAATCTGCAAGGCCGAAGGCACTTAGTGCACAAATGAATGTGTCAAACAGTTTGGCTCGTGTCCATCTGTGGACTTTAGTTTGCTTTTGTACTCAGCGATAAATACTTTGTAGGTGATTAATATTAGTAAAGACTCAAAGTCTAATTTTGAAGCATAGAAACAAGCTGGGGGTCAGTGGAATGATTTTGTTTTTTCGGGCAGAGGCCGAGGGTAAGAGCTCTGACAGAATCAAGCTCTGGTATGAGGCTACATTCTCTGCACACTCTCACAATCCCTCATTTCCATTCCATGTGACTTGTTCTCATCTCACAGTTTCCTTGTGGAAGTTTACAGTGTGAAGAGCAGGTGTGAACACAGAGCAGATGGAATTGGTGAAAGCCAAAACAAACAATGTTGTGGTGAAGGGAAGACACAGGAGATCTGCAGTGGACACGGCCAACTAATATTTACACTCATAAAACACAGACACAGTATATTACTGCAGCCACCTCTGGGAAAGTGGAAACGGAGCAGCAATTATTGATTAAGTCCATAGACCGTGGAGTGGAAAAAAAAAAAACATCAGTTAAGGTTCATCCAGAATTCTAAGCACTGAGAATATCTATCAACTTTAAGTCTGGGATGGATACGGTTTTACTCAAATTCACAAATACTCAAATGTCACAGCACACACACACACACATATATATACACACATATATACGTGTGTATATATATATACATATATATATATATATACACATATATATGATTTGAACCTTGCCATTTAATTTAAAGTCTCTACAAGGTAAAGGTTTTCCTCCAGAATGATGCTAAATAAGAGAAAAACAGAAAATACAAGTAGAGGGTAGAATCCTAACTGTGTAAAATGTTGTGGTTTCTAAAACTTTGTAATAAAAAAAAAATCCATGTGTATGACCACTTTGTGACTTTATACAAATACACTATAAAAACTGAAAATATTTATATAACTTGAACTTCCTCCCTTTTTCTTTCTTTACAGAACACAATAAAGACATCAGACCAAAAGGAACTCATAGGATTTATGTAAATAACGAAAAACAAACACCAAACCACAGAAATGATGGAGTTAAGAGATGCCCGGTCCTGTTGGGTAAGCACCACATCTACATCCAAACCCAGAAGAAGAAACGCTTCCACCTGACCATTGGGGGCCACGCCTACCTGCTCCCTAACACCTCCCTGATCATCAAGTGCCCAGTCAGAAGGTTTCCCAAAATGTTTATCCGCTGGATCAAAGATGGACGCCCCGTTGCCAGCTCCAAACACCTGACCATCACCAAGTCTGGTTCTCTGAAGATTCCTTTTGTTTCAGCTGACGATGTGGGTGTGTACAGGTGTGTGGCTGGACCTGCCTATGAAATCTTCACGCTCCAGCTAATAGGCAGTGAGAACCAGTCAACTGGAAGAAGGCTTCCAAGCACTCCACGCTCCACCTGGGAGGAAAGGAAGCCCACCTGTTACACACACAACATACATCTGGATGGTGTTAGTGTGTCTTTGTTGCCCCCTAGTGGCCACAATGTCTCACTGCAGCCACGATTGAGAGAGAAGCTGATTAATATTACTCTGCAGGCTGACAGAGGGGAGATAGAGCAGGAGCAGGCCTCAGAACTCATCGCCTCGCTGCTGATCAGCATGTCTGATGGTCAGATCTGGACCAGGACCACGGAGGAGAGAACACAAGCTAGAGGTAAATCAGGGTTTCATTAGTTGTCCATTCAACCAGTGACACTCACATCTGCTGGGACCTTCAGAAATGTGGATAAATCATAAAACATTCTTATTCAGCCAGTAACCTCCTCTGCCACACCCAAAATTAATAGTTGTTCAAATTCAAAAACAATTTATTAAATCTTCACACAAACAATTCAACTGCTATACAAATGCAGCAACATATTTATCAAATATGTGAGAAAATGTATGTTTGTGTGTGTGAACTTGACCTTTTTTTCACCATTATTTGATCTTTGTCTCTGAGAGATTCCTGTTTCACTTGGTGTTTGATGTCATTTTCAACCACAGACAGTCTCCACAACTGGTCTGAACTGGTTTCAGCCCTGGGCGGAGCGGCTGTACACAGACCAAGAATCATCAGACAGCAGCAGAAACGGACAATGTCTGTCCAAGAAAGCGTTGACGTGAACATCGGTGACTCGGCGCTCCTGACCAACACCACCCAGTCACTGACCATTCGCTGTCCTGCAGAAGGATTCCCACCTCCTGTCATCAGCTGGAGCAAAGATGGAGCACCGCTGCACATAACTGACAGGTAAAGCAAAGTAAAAAGAAAAAAAGAATATTTTTCTCATGCAGGCAGTGATCAATTCTAAAATAATAGCTGTAGAGTATTTAGTACAACACACTACAATCACATACAATGACCTGAAGTCAACATTACCTGCTCTAGCGGCAATTTGCACACCTTATTTTGAGAACATTGCCATAATGTTTTGCTATTGGCAAGCGAGCTATTAGTTCAGTGTGGCATTTTATTTAAAAGTTGTATTAAAAAGTAACAGCCTTTGCTACTGCAACTGTTTCTAGTACTGGTCTCATACATCAGTTGTGGTTTAAAAAAAAACAAAAAAAAACTTGATCAACTGCAGGCAGCCATTGGTAAGTTAAAAGAGAGACACATGTGTCTCAGGAGCCATAGGTTGCAGACCCCAGGTCTAGGTCTTCATTCCCACCACTCAACCGTCTGCCTGGTTTTTATGTCGAACTCTATAGGAAGCTACTTTTAAACTAACTTTCTCTTCTACTTGGCCTCTTCAGGGACACTGAAATTTTTTTGAGTTGCTACCTGGTTTTGAACCCAATGAAAAGATTGTGTTCAATCGCAGACAGATTCATGACATGTTTGGCCTTGGTTCTTACAAACAGAGCAGCAGAAAACATTTCCTTTGTACGCTCCAACACTACAGAGGTGTAATCAGGTCATTGGCATGTCTGTAGTGGATTCAAAAGATGAGGTTTGGGATTTGTGGCTGTGGAAGAAAACTAAACTTCTCCACCAGAATGTCAGACTGGTTTTCCTTTTCTAAAAGCAGTAGAGAGATTATTGGTCGACCAGTCTTTGTTTATCATAACATGGTTCTAGCAGTGCAGTAAACTCTGAATGGTGGTGATTTTAATTGTTGATTAGTCAGTTAAGAACTCCTGCTCTGGATTACTACCTCAGCTCAGTCTCTGAGTCTGTTTCCTTGGTTCTTTTCAGAGAGAACTGTTCAGAGTTTAATCTTTTTAGATCTGCTGTAGAGACATAACATCAAGTCTTCATTATTTGTCTGCAGGTTCTCCTGGGACGGTTCCAGAGGACTCCAAATCCTTCTGCCCACAGCGTCTGACCGAGGACAGTACAAGTGCACAGCAGTCAACGTGCACGGCTCCGACTCAGAGACTTCACAGATCCTGTTGGCAGGTGATGATCCTGTTCCCAGGATAAATGAGACCAACATGTGCACAAACAAATGTTTTGTGATTGTTTTTTTAAATTATTATTATTCCTTTATCACACTGTATAATTGGACTTAGAAAATAAATAGTTTAAAAAGCATCTGATTGATTTGACTACGTGTGAACTTGCAGAACCTCCAACCGTTAAACTGTCATGGAGCGATAGTTCAGACCCTGGGCTGGACTTTGGTCGGGGTCTCAAGGCTGTGGTTGGAGAACAAGTCCGTGTTCTTCAGGGAACCAACCTTACCCTGGACTGCACTGTCACTGGTAGGTTAAAAAATTCAAGCTTTTATATAATAACTCTCAGCCTTTACAAAACATTCAACCCATAGAAATGTTTTAGTTAGTTGAATAATTATTCTGTCCTTTCCTGTTTGTGTCAGGTGTTCCCCAGCCCTCGGTGACGTGGCACAGAAAGACACGCCCCCTGGACTCAGGTGTGGTTTCTCTTCCCTCTGGATCACTGAGGATCAAAAATGTTTCTCCACAAAACCAAGGTGTCTACTCCTGCACTGCCACCAATGCCGCAGGGAAGTCCACGGTTTCCACTGATCTGCAGGTTTACAGTGAGTTCATCCACTAATTTGACCCCCACACAGCAAACATCTTATGCTCATTAGTTGTTTAAAGTTTGTATAAGGTAGTGGTTCCCAAAGCGAGGGGCAGGGCCCTCAGGGGTATAGCACTGTTGTAAATGTATTTCCTTTGTAAAATGAGGGGGAAAAAATGGTAGGTTGACAACAGTTCGATCCTCAAAATGTTTGTAATATAATATTTGGTGCAAATTTGTCTGAAGCTCCACAGTCAGCTGCAGGAAGTAGAGAGACTCCAGTTCTACAACCAGACCTGAACAGACGGAGAGTTCTGATGGCATCACGCCGTGGAACCAGTGTTTCCATCAAACCTGGTGACATCTTACGTATAGGTGCGTACACACACAGACCGCACACAGAAGAACAACTGGGAACTAAACATAGTAATACTGTCTGCATGTGTGTCTCCAAGGCTGTCCAGTGGTGCCTGACCATAAACAGTCAGTTTACTGGGACTACAACAACCAGACCCTGAAGGAGGTTTCACGTCCAACTCACATCCAGGGTCCTGGTCTGGGTCCACAGTACAAAATGCTGGTGGGGGGTCGTGTCCTTGAAGTCTACACTCTTCGCGTCAACTTTTCGGGTCGTTATCAGTGTCAAACCTTCATCAACAGCACCAGAGAAACCCTGCTAGCCTGGATCTATGAACACAGCAACGGTCAGTCAGTTGGTGTGTGTGTGTGTGTGTGTTTGTGTGTTCCTTACACACTCAAGTCTATAATATTTTTGCCAATTGTTACACATTTTGTTCTGCCTGGACGTTAGTGAAGTGCAGACTCTCCTCCTCCTCCTCCCTCAGCTCCAGTCCGTGCTCCTCCTGTGTGGAGTTTTCCAGCTGCAGCCACTGGAAACTTTGGCTCAGTTTTTTGGGACGTTATTTTCTTTCTCTCCAGCGATTATTTTTTTATTCCTCAGCTGGTCGAATCCTAATTGTTTCAAGTCTTGTAAAAACAGCATGGATGCACTAACTGATGATGGCCACAAGTTTGTTCATACATTGTTCTTGTTGTTCTTTTTTTTATTTCACTACAAAATAAATGACTTAGAAGGACAAATACTCAAATTTACAGTTCAGCAAATAATGGAAAGTGTTTGTAAACTGCCTGGAAGACGTTTGTTTGCCCTGGAGTTTTGTAACCATTTCCATATTCCTCACTTTGTTTGTTCCAACACAGAGTTTGGCTGGCGATTTGGAGACTGGACCACGTGCAGCGCTTCCTGTGGAAACAGAGGGACGTGGCTGCGGAGGCTTGACTGTGTCACGCCAGATGGAAAGATAGTTCCAACGACAAAGTGTCAGCACATACAGAAACCCGTCACCTCTGCAGTTCCCTGCAACAGACAGGACTGTCCACCCAGGTGAGTCCCTGCTGCAATACGCCAAAAATGTCAAAGGAAATTTCCTGCATTTAAAACCAGTGAGATTGGTCATGTCACTGATTTGAAATTTTGTTAATGTTGATTTTAGATGGCTTGTGTCGGACTGGTCCAAATGTTCCACCTCATGTGGCAGTGGGTGGAAACAGAGGCAGGTCTCCTGTCAGCAGCTGGATGCCAGAGGTGCAGAAAAGAACCTGACGGCAGCGTCCTGCGAGAGGATGAGTCGTCCAGCTGACACAGAACAGTGCAGCGCCAACAACTGTCCAAGCTGGGTCATCAGCCCGTGGGGAAAGGTAACCATGCCAAACCCTTAACCTATGCTTTCTTTGCTAGTTTATAAACCTAAGTTATACAAAATAAAAATGTGGAAGAGTGTTTAAAATGTTTATCTGCTGCTGAAAGTTTGAAAAATGGCAAAGAGAAGCACGATCATGTCTTTATTTTCCAAAGAGCCAAGAAACGTCAACAACAAAAACATGAACGGTGACACAACTGGGTCAATACAGCACGCTAGGAGACATCTAATCTTTTATTCAAAATGTTGTTTTTGTCCTTTGCCTTAAGCCTTGTCATAGCAGCAGTTGTCATTCGGTTGAATGTGTTCCTAAATATAGCTTTTTGAGCGCTAGTCAAATGTGACACAACAATCAAAAAACAATTCAATCTTGGCCATTGCAGCAAAATGACCTTTTTGTTTAATGGCAGGTAGAGATATACACCTACACTCAGTTGTCTACTAGCTAAAACCTGTTAGCGCTGCGGAGCGCTAACATCGGCGTCACCAGTGTAAACTTTGGCATTAACTGTTACAGTCTTGTTGTCTCATTCTCTGCTCCAGTGCTCAGGCCGGTGTTTAGGTCCAACCACCACCGTACAGAGAAGATCCGTCACCTGTCAACACACCAATGGTTCCCTGTACACAGACTGTGACATCAGACACAGGTAAACTCTCCATGTGGTTCTTTCTTTTATGTCTGCTGCTAAAAAACAATCTTCTACTAAAACTGTTTATCCACTGAATGCTGCTTCAGTAAAGTTTCATACTTTATATTTTCTTGCTGCATTTTTTTGCTCCTAAATTCATATTCAGAACTGTGATATTGTGGTTTTGTATTTACATTTTGTTGTATTTTTACTCTTTATATACTTTTGTGATACAGTAGGTAAGAATGTATATGATGTGATGTCTTTCCTCAATTCCTGTGAGTATTTTGTGTTGTTGTTGAACTAAACAGTACCAGTTTTCACACTAATTGGATAAATTGAAAGTCGTTAGTATTAAAAAGATCATTATATTAGATAACTTTTGGTGGTGGTGTGCTGAGGGATTTGTTAAATGTAAAATATCCCTAGTGGCTCAGAAAGGTTGGGCCACTCCTTTTTCCTGAAGATGAGAGGATTAACAATTATTTTCTTTTTTTTTTGTTTTTTTTCAGGCCTGTTTCACTGCGCAACTGTTCCTCAGACCTCTGTGATGTGGAGTGGCGGTCTGGTTCGTGGCGAGCGTGCACTGTGGTTTGTGGGAGTGGTTTCCAGTCACGCAGGGTTGATTGCATTCACCGTGGAAGTGGAAGGACCCTGGCTGACCAGCACTGTGCCTGGCTCCATCGCCCGTCCACATGGCAACACTGCAACACCATCAGCTGTGGGAGTAAGTGGCAGCAGCTGTGCCTCAAACTACTGTCTGATGCATGAACACGGACAAAAGTAACATGCTTGTTGAAGGAGTTTTAAAAGGGTTCTACAACCCCAAATGGATTTGGGGATACTGGGGACACGTGTTTTGTTTATTTTTGTGGTGAGGAAATATTTTATACATTTTTTTTTATAAATATACATTCATACATTTGTAGTTCTTGACCCATAGTTTTAGACCCATGTGGGATGAGGGATAGTGATACAAAGTGTTTTTACTCAAAAGTACAAACAAAAGATAAAGGAATGGTAAAATTCTGATAACATTTTGATAAAAGTTAAAGTTAATTGAGGATGACCTGGTAAAGCCTGAAGGATGAAATCAATTTATTGCAAATTAAAACATGAATCAAATGTTTAAAGACATTATTTCCCTGTTCTGCAGATGAATGTAAAGACACGACTCAGTACTGTGGTGTGGTGAAGAGACTGAAGCTGTGCCATCTGGACACGTACAAACACAGGTGCTGTGAGTCTTGTACACGGGACGCTGTCGCCACCTAGTGGCCGTAAGTAGTTATAACCCCACACCAGACTGCAAGAATCTCAATGTACGTCACAGGTGAGAAGAAGCTTCTTGAACTTTATAGACTGAGCATAAAATGGACGAGCTTTAGTCCAGGTCATTTTTTTCCTATGAAGGGGAACCAAAGGAGGGATTTCTTTTCTAATCTGGACCCGACCTCCTACAATGAAGAAAAGTGTTGATCCACTATGTGGACCAAATGGAAATGTTGGGTTATACTGATAGAATGCTAACGCCTAAACTAGAGTCAAGCCAGCTAAAAAAAAGAAAGAAAATCTTTATTAAAACTCAGTGTCGCTGATGCCAGAATTCTCTGTTCCGCTTCAAACTCCTATATAATAATTTATAATTCTGACGAGCTCACCATGTGGCTAAAATGATAGTCATTCTACAGATAATTTTTTTTCATTTATAACAGACAAGTCCCCTGCACTTCTATTTTTAGTTTTGATCAAATTATAGGGCAAGAATCAACTAAATTAAGGTTAGGGTTAGAATTTTGTTTACCACCACCGTCCAACAGATGATTGTCCATAACTTTTAGGAAGGCTATAGAAAGGTGATTTCTTCATGGTTGTTGTTTTCATTTTACTTTGGTTTAGTGTTACAGACGGGTTAACTCAAGGGTTAGGGAGTGAGGTTTTTTTTTTTTTTCTGTTTTTGAGCATTGGTTGAGGATTAGAGATAAGGAGTTTTGAAAAAACTGAAAATTCTGAAATCAGTTTTACGTTTAAATCGGATTTTAATTTTATTAATATTTTATATTATATTTATTGATTTTCTTTCTTTATATTTTCTTTTTTCTTTCTCATTTTTAAACTCTATTTTTTATACATTTTTCTGTTTTCTTTTTGTTTTCTTTTCTAAAAACAGTTTTATTTTTTCTTATTAAATGTTTTTTGTATAATATATATATTATTTTTTCTTCTTTATTTTGTTATTCAGTTATTTATTATTTTAGTTTTTATTATTTCTACCTTGATTTTTAGTTGTTTTTTTTCCAGCTTGGGTTAGGTTTCTTTTAATTTTTTTATTTCTATTTTAATATAAATTTTCAGTCCTGTCCAAACAATATTAGGCCTCCATTCGACAGCTTCCTCTAGTTGGTGTAAGAAGTGAGAAATCGATAGGTTAACGATGACTTTTAACTCAACACAAAAGAGCATTTGTTGCCCATTAACTAATTTGGTAGTTTATTCTCTTTAATTTTGAAAACTTTTAGATTAATTTTCTTAAGGGATCACAGCAAAAATACATGATTGCATTAATTAAGTCGAAACCACATTGAACAACATTGTTCTAGGATTTGTGTGTGTGGGGGGGGGTTGATTTGTCTTTTGCTTTTTAACAAAATTAATGGATGAATTCTTTTAATATGGCTCCAAAAGCACTTTTATCTGACGTCAGGCTGGGACTTGTCTGCACATTCATGTGGAGAACGAACCAGTGTGTAAGTTATAGTCATGTCCAACCGTGTGTTTTGTGTTTTATGACGTTTATTTGACGGCCATTCGCTTTAGTGAAGGTTGAACTGCTTTAGTCACATGTCACTGATGAAGTAAGAGCTGCTGTCGGTGGAGGTTGCGTCATGAAAGTTATGATCGTTTGTTCATCAGCACCAAACTACAGCGATGCAAACCATTTACGTGCGATTATTTTAATACAACAGGAACAAAACAAAAAAAAAAACAACACTAACTTCATGTCCGATTTATATTTGACTTGTTTCTGATGCTGATGCTCTACGTTGTAAAATGTCCTGTAAATACTGCGTTCTAAGTGCAATATAAATGGTGTGAAACTTTTATTTTCTTATTTAAGTGTTCAGTTTTTTTTTTCTTTGCTTTGGTTAAAAAATAATTGAAAACAAATGTTGAGATGTTAGAAGATGAAGCACTTATATATATATTTGAATGTCTTCTGCTTCCACAGACCTGGTTTAAGTTGCATGTGTTTGAACTCAAATTTCTAATGTTTTATAAGATCTGCAGTGGTTTCGTTTGGACACTGACTGAACAGTTTTCCTGATGTAGGGACTGTACACTGATGGTTCTATTACAGCTCAACGATGGATGAGATATTGGGAACGTTAAAAAACTTTTATACTGTTAATCAAACCAAAAAGTGTTTTTTTTTTTGGATCAGGCATATTTTTGATCATTGTTTTTAAAAAACAAGGACTGAAATGGAATACCTCTGAGCTTTGGTCCGCACGTTGCTATTCCTCACCCGATTGGAAAAGTTACAGGTGGATGTTAAGGACTTTTTTTAGTTCTTGTTTTGTTCTCTGTCAACCTCACGTGTTAACAATTGTTTTACGTTTCCCGAATAAAGCTGTACATGTTATAAATGTCTATATGTTTGCCTGTTTCAGGGAAGAATGTCAACTAAATTCAATCTTAATATTTGTTTTTTCTGACATTTAACCACAGAAAAAGGTATTGTAAGATGTTATGGCAAACTAGTGCATTTTAATTTTAAGATATTTTTTATATTTTGAAGACTTTTCAGAAGTTATGTTACTTTTGATGAATGTCTGACATACCAAAAAATATATCTTTTTCTTAGTCTTCAAAAATATTCACTTGGCAGCATGTTT